CTTCACCAACGGGTTTCTCGTTCCATATTTCTATGTTCGGGATAAGCATGAAGCTATGTTCGGGATAACCCTGTAGGTCCACCGTCCCTTCGTACTATTTGTTCTTCCAGTTTCGCTATAGTGATTGGTATGTGGCATTTTTCTTGAGTCCATTTTCGCACCTTATGCCAAACATCTCTTTCCTGACATGTATCTAACCCTGACGTTTGACTCTTTACCCACTTATAATTTCATTTTAGCCTAGTCTTTATTTCTGTATCTTAATCTTTAACTTCTGATGTAACTCGTACCATCAAGGAACGCCCTATACAGGACGCTCATTAATTTCGCTCCCTAACATTTCCAAAGCTCTGTATGTATTAAACTTTCTTTCACATCATTTCTGTATAAATTGTTAATAATTTACTCTATTCTTTTCTTTTCTTTCATTTCCTCACCAAGATTTACCATTTGTTCAATAAATCATTCTTGGAATTTAGTAAGAAAAATTGAATATTTTAGTTTCCCTTGGAAAACACCGAGCTAGTATTACAATTAACTGCGTACAGCTCAGGTAGCAAGAACCCGAACTATGGTAGAGGCAGTCTAATCAGATCTCTTATAAAAAGTATCCACTCAAAGTTACATAGATTTTCAGTAGGACGTTAAGTAAAGTCCCTTGTGGCAAGCTACCGCAGTACAAAAAAGGCCTTCACCAGTTCTAAAACAAAGTCGCCCTTACCCAACCGCCACAATCAGATGGCGGTGGTAACAATATCATCAATATGCCCAGCTTTGTCTTTTCTGTTAGATATTTCTCCTTCTTGCCTACCACCACCATTGCTATATCGTCAGCAAAGCCGACAAGTGTAATGTCTTTTGGCATCTCCATTCTGAGACGTTCATCATAAAAGGTTGGCCCAAGGACTGACCCTTGGAGTAGGTAACCCGCTTTTATTGTCTCAATGGTTTTTGTAGTTTTCTCGGCATCAACGATAATTTCTCGTCCGGAAAGATAAGATGCAATAAGTTTAAGGAGACCTTGGTTGATATCTCTTTTTTCGAAGTTGTCTATAATTTTCTGCGTTCTTATGTCCAGTAGAGACAGCTGGAAAGTAGACCTTTTAAATCCGGAACAGCTTGAATTTACGGTGGATAGGTCGACATCAACAGAAATTTGGTTTTGTATCAGAATTTTATTTTGAATAGCATGATGGAGAGGGGGTTCCAGGTTAATTATGTATACTCAGACCCTAAAGTCTTAAATAGGGTTAAACATCGCCTGATCATTAGGAAGCTTGGTTGTTTGGGGGTGCGAGAGGTTCAATTCTGAGTTCGTTTGCTGACTTTCTTGTTGGGAAAACCCAGGCAATTAGGTATGGCGGTGTTATATCTCGTGTCTTTGATGTTCCTTCTGGAATACCCCGGGGGTCTCATTGTGAGCCAATCCTGTTAAATCTGATCATATCCGATGTGGGTAGTTCCATTGCACACAGCTCATTTTTGTCATTTGCAGATGATCTTAAACTTTATCATCAGGTACCTATCATCGTTGGAAGACTCACAACTGCTTCAAGATTATATTGATTTCTTTGATAAATGGTGTGGCTCGAACGAAATGGACCTCATATTGCCAAATGTTATAAAATAATTTACAGTGTCTAGTATTTTACTGGCATCATGCAGATGTTTGAATTAAAATTGATGAAAAATTTTCTTGCCTCGGCTGGGATTTGAAACCAGGACCCTCGCATATCCAGTGCAACGTTCTACCAAATGAGATACCAAGACCTGTTTCATTTCTACCTTGTCGGTCATCAATTTCAAGTTGTTAGTCGAGGCAAGTAAATGTTTCATCAATTTTAATTGAAACGTCTGCATGCCACTAGAATCCAACACACTATAAATTATATAACAGACGATAAAACTTGTGAAAAAAAGTTATAAAATAACTTTCTCCAGGTTAGCCCAATCAGTGAAATTCCCTTACACAATTAATAACATATCAATCAGGGAAGTCGCAAGCATTCGAGATTTGGGAGTGGAATTTGTCTCAAGATGTCATTTATTGGCCATATTACTGATACTGTGAAAAGGGCTGTTAGATGTTTGGGCTTACATGTAGGTCCACTATTGATATCTCTGTGAGTACATTGCGAATATTGTACTGTGCGATGGTGCAATCCATATTGGAATACTCATCGGTTGTTTGGTCTTCCCAATATGCTGTTCACATTGCAACTCTGGAAAGGGTTCAGAACAGATTTCTAAGGGTGGCTGCTTACAGGTTGGGCTTGGATCATGATGAGTATAATTATATGACGGGACGAGGGCTTTCTTGAGTGTTCATACAAAGCAGAAGACTTCAGACTTTCCTTCACAAACTTTTGAGCGGGTTAATTGACTGCCAGATCTTTTGGATCTCACTTCTTTGAGAGCAGGAGAAAGAAGAGTGAGAGGTTATGACCTGTTTCATGTACCATTCCATAATACTAATTATGGTATGAATGAGTAGATCTCAAGGGTACTCAGGTTTGCCAACTCAAAGAGCCGCAGTATTGACATCTTTGGTTGTCCATCTGTTGTTTCCTTTAAAAGGAGATTGCTACCATTTCTTGCTGGATAGTTTTTAAAATACGTTGTATCTGTTTTTTGGAATTTACAGCAATTGAATGGTTATTAACTTAGTGAATTCACCAGGATGTTTATTTGTTATGTGCTTGCCTGTTCTGCAATTTTCAGAACATTCATAATGGCATCTAGTCTGTCTCTTTTCTCTGAATTCATACTGTCTTTCTGCAAGGCTCTAAGTACGGTCTAGTTCTGTCTTGAGCCTAGACAGAAGTAGGCGTCCATAAAGCTTCCCCTCCGCCTAAAGCAGATATATGTCGGTAAGCGGACAGGTCATCGATTGACTTCTCACCTTTATCCAAGAGGATTTCCGCAGGAATACATCCGCCCTGGGGCTTTTTTCGATTTGAGGTTTTCGTTGGCAGAATATAATTCTCCTGGCGTACTCAATAACAAGTCTCTCGTGCATTGAATATAGATGGTCCACCACCTTGTCCACTGTAAATGCAGATTAACGAGATTCTCACTGTCCCTACCCACATTACGATGGCTGGTTCGCTGGAGCAATTTTGTTAACCTCCACCGAACTGTCGTGTCTACCATCTCACGACAAAGGAAGGAGGGAGGAGCTCTCGAACGATCCCAGAATTCTGCGCAAAGTTCCTGAGCCTCTCTCCAGAAAGATGGTAGCGGTACTGTTCGTCTCCCGCAAGAAGAGGGGTACTCATCGGATGATTCCAGGAATCTGGCTGAAAGTCCGATGAGCCCAGCTTCCGGTCCACGGTGGACGGGCTTTATTTCGAACCGTAACTCGTCCGGTTGAACGAGGACCCAGGCACGGCCGGGGGGTTAATGGAAAACAAGTCTCTCGTGCACTGAATATAGATGGTTCACCAGCTTGTCCACTGTAGATGCAGATTAACGAGATTCCCACTGTCCCTACCCACATTTCGATGGCTGGTTCGCTGGTGCAATTTTGTTAACCTCCAACGAACTATCGTGTCTACCATCTCACGATAGGGGAAGGAGGGAGGAACTCTCGAACGATCCCAGAATTCTGTGTAAATTTCCTGAACCTCTTTTCAGAAAGATGGTAACGGTATTGTCTGTCCTTCGCAAAAACCAGGGAACTCAGCGAACGATTCCAGTAAATCTGGCTGAAAGTACTTCGAACCGCGACTCGTTCGGTTAAACGATGACCCGGGCACGGCCGGAGGGTTAAAGGTATGACTTTGAGTAATACCCATAGTCTCACTAGTTGGCATGGGCGGAGGACCCCTATAATGTCTACCCTATCCCAGAATTCTGGGCAACAGACAACAGATGACTGGGGTGTTCCGAAAGCTACTAGTGGGAAGCCTCGATCCCGGACCGGACCTTGTCAAAGGAAAAGCAACTCACCTAGTGAGCCCTTTTAATACAAGGAATACGGTGTCTTGTAGGCCACATGCATACATCGGTAAAAATGCCTGCCGCTGTGGTAATGCCAGGAGTTCGTGATTGAAAGGTACAAGCGTGCATTATGAAGATGTGGAAGCCAGCCACGAAAGTGGTTGCCGAACGGCGACTTATTGTCACACGTTTCTGGGGGAACCCGGCAGACACGAGTACCCAGGAGACCAGCCCAGAGCCAAATCCAAAAACTTGATGCATTTCATAGTTGTCGGTCTCTGGGGGGCAGTTAAGGTCTAGCTAAAGATAGATCAGGGTAATTGTCCCGGACGTGCGAAAAACCGAAAGGTACAGTGCATAACCTCAGAGTTAATGTAGATGCTGGTAGCAGCGGTCTTGGTGATACAGTATCAAATATCAAATGCTTTTGCACGATCTAAAAAATGCTGCAATACAGACATTACATTTATCTAAGTTGTTTGTTATATCATTTATACCCTTTGATGCATAGCATCTTCCTTACCCGTAAATTTGAACCATTTCAACATAATCTAAGATTTCAACCATCTCGCTTTTTACTATTATACTAGGTAATATAGTCTGAAATAAAATTTCTTTCGCTTTTGTTTACTTGGTCCATAAACCCATAAAATATGAAGTAAGTTTGTCAAGAAAACAGATTAACTAGGTGAGTGTTATTTATTCTATTTTTTTAAATATAAGTTCAGAACTTGAAAAATGTAGGTAGGAGTCTTTGAAACCATTTACTTTTCCTTATTAAAACTGATCCAGAATTGATGAACTATTGAAAAAATTCGAATATATTTACACCTTTTTTTTTAAATTATTGAAAAAAAAAATTCGTTGTTACTATGCATGTGTGGGAATCACAGAAGTTCATTTAAAATATGGTATGACCGGTTTATACAGATTTTCTCCATTAAAACACAAGCACATAATAAATACACTTGCTTGTTTTCCTCCACATTTAGAAAATCCATTTCCGCGCATGCTTCCTTCTAAAACTTTCCCTTTCATTCCCCGCATTCCACAACCCCCAAATGTTTAGTATCACCCCAATGCCCAAATGCCGAACAGCTGGCGGGCTTATTATTATTTAGGGATGTGAAAGTTTCATTGTATTGAGGCTTTTAGGCGTTTCTTGTCTTGGGGTGGGTATTTTTATGTTCTCAAATAGTATTGCATTAAAAAATACGACAAATTTTGTCTCGTTTCACAATGCAAATGTAAATTTCAGGTCTAATCTAAAATGTTTCCTCCACGCAATTCCAACTCCAATAAATTTCTCTGGGACATTACCATCGACACGCAATCCTGAGAGGAAGAAACGAAAAGATAACGATAATGTTGCTCGCTAGACGACTTCCAGGAATCTTGTACACGCACAGATATACCGTCTATTCCGTCGGGATCATCTTGTCCACTTTTATTTATTTCTTGTTCAAATGGAACTTATTTTGTGTGAATCTTCAGGCTTGGCAGCATGTTAAACGAATGGTAAGAATTCATGCATAAAAAAGATATAACCACATCGACTTCTACATAGAGTAGTTTTATACTGGAGACTCTATTAGTTTTTATGCCTATTCCACCACATTACATTACACAACCAAGATATAAGTACTTTAGACAATTATTACTTACTGTTTTAAATTCTCAATTAATTATATGTGGCAGACATTGATAAGGGCAATTTACTTAGACATCTCTCATCTCAATTTACTTTCCTAGTTCTTGTTATTAATGATTATAACATACATTACCATTGCAAATAGCAAAATTTTTGCTCTCTACTGTTACCCTTAAATATTCAATCTCTTAGATGCAAGACAGTTGTTCTCAAATGATTTGTAACTCCCCTCCGTTTCTTTATTGAATAAAGATGGGTAAGATTTGATGCTGCATACCTTATATGCATGATGAGAATATCTTCAACCTTATTATATCTAATGATATGATCAAAACCTGGAAATATTGAATTTTTAGTTTTGACTTGATTCAAATCTATGTAGAAATTATAAACTAATTTAAATTTTATCTTATTTTTTCAGTGCTCCCTCTACGAACAAGGTCTCGCTATCGGTTCCCTCTGTGCCCCGCTCTGTGTTTCCAAAGACATCCACTCACTCACCTGTCATTCTTTCCAAACAGCAAAAGAAGCAGTTTTCAGTGCAGAATGGCACAACATCAAGCTTGTTTTCAAATCAGTAACAACCGACGTCCAACCGATCCATTGGTACGACAATGGAATTCTCAAATATCCTACCGAAAAAGAGTTCCTATTATCGATAAGAACTATAGTGAAAAGAAAGTTGAATTTAACTTTAGCTTATGATACCGCTGTACGTTTAGCTAGACTAAAGCCTTCTTATGAGGAAAAAGATCCGCTAAAACGCAAACAAGAAATTGATAGTTTATGGTATTTGTTGCAAGATAACGAGTATTTATTATCTACTATTTTTACTGACAAAGATATATTTCCTCAGCTTATTGGCACTTGCGGTCCATACTTTGCCGTAGAATATTTAGAGCCTGTCCCATTCACTTCAGCATTGTTTTCTATGGGAGATACTTTAGAAGAATGGGGACAACGGCTCAAGTTTGCTTTGCAAATACTAGAATTATTGGATGATCTTGAAACAAGCTTTAGAGAGCCTTTTCATCTGTGCGACATTAAATTAAACCATTTTGGTTACATGAATAATAAAAAGAAACTAAAATTCATAGATTTAGATGAGGCTTTCCCAAGAACCGTTATTAGTTCCTTATTTCAGGAAATCGATAATTGTTTAGTGGACGATGATTGTGAATTTCTGGATTGCCGATCCACCTGTAATAAAACCACTAAACAATGTCGCACATCTATTGAAAATAATAATTTTCAAATTGTGTGTGAGAAAATTTTCTTAGGCTGGCGTATGTCCAATACAATTCTAGTGCCTGGGCTGTTGATGTCGCAACATACTCCCTCCGAACTAGCCTCGATTTTGAGGCAATGTGCGAATCCCGACGGTGTGCCAGGGAAAGTTAGGAAAATGCCAGACGATGAAATTAGGAAGAGGTTGTTTAATGTGCTTTATGAAATGGAACAGTCTCTTAACAATGATTTCTTTCTTTAGTGAAAATTAATAAAATTTGTTACTGATTTAATTCTGAGAGTTTTAGTTAATTACCTATTTGATCATGAAATAGTGCTGCCAAAACTGGAATCCTATAGTTTCATGAAATAGTTTGTCAGAGTTCAGTCAGTTCTTTCCTAAAATTGCTCTATTCTAAAAGATCATACAGGTCACTGTTCAGACATATAGTATTTCCAAAGTCAATTGAAACAAGGTGATAATAAATTGTAACTGGTGGCTGACTAGTGGCAGTGCATTTCTTATGAAAATATTCAGTCACCAGTTGTGATTTACCTTTACCTTATTTAAACTGACTCGTGAAAGACTATACCTCAAATTCGATTCTAGTGGATTCTGGATCGGATCTCCTCATAATAAAACCGCAGAAAGTTATCAAAGAGCAATACCATTGTGGGAGCGGCTACATGTACTGATAATTCATAAGAAAATAGGGAGATGCTTCCTCCGGCAAATTTACCTTTGATTCTCTCTGATTCAAAAAAATACTTCAAATAACATCTGGATCTCCTTGAATTAAGAAGTTGTCCTTATTTCCTATATTATACAGTGCTTACAATCTAAGGATCAGAGTTCAGGTCAATTGAAACCTTTGTAAACTGATGGAAACAAGCAAACTTTTGTCTCCAAAACCATCTCAAAAAATTGCATTAGGTATGGTATGAATACCAGAATTTAGAGACATTTTTCATATAAACTGATATATTAAATATTACAATTAATTAATATAATTTAGTTTTTGATAATAATTGGTATTTCAACTTAAAATTAATCAGTGCAAGAAACATAAAACTTTCCACTAACAATAAAAAACTCTTTTCCATAAGCAATTTTATAAGAAAAACAATATGATTTGTTGCAAAATTAATTAAGGCGGAATCATACCAGAAAAACTGCACATAAAACACACAAAAAAAAACTACAAATTATATATAAATTTTTTTAAATCCAAAAGATTTCTATGCTTTGGTTTGGATTTCAAAAAAGTACGCACAAATACTGTATTTCTTAAAATATACTGTAAAACGAACACACTGTAGTATACTTACACACTAGAGTCAAATCCTAACGATGTACTATGATTCATTCTTTGTTTTACACAAGCCTTCAAGTTTGGAAACCACCAGACTTACATCAGCATTTTTATTTAATTTTATATAAACACAATTCCTTATATCGTGGAAAATCAACCAGTTTGGTAGTTCTTTCGATATGGCTTTTAAATGTTCTTCCATTTCCGATCTTGTTAAGTTCCCTCGATAACATAATTCTAATTTGTCCAAGACAATCTCTAAAGGTAAAACTCCTTTTTTTTCTGATACAAAAAGGTTTCTTGAGAGTCGAGCTATTTCTGGCAGGCGGGAGTACAGTTGAACTTCTTTTTCTTTGTCAGCTGATCGAGTCATAGAGAGTAGAGCTTTGGCAGCTTGTTTCTGACGGACTTTTTCTAGAAGGCCTTTCGGAATGCCTGGAAGACAGGAAGAGCTATTAATTCTACAGCTTCCATTTAATTATTCGAATCTAATTGGGAAAACTCATCTTAAGTCAAGATTAGATTTATATTTCAAAATAAGCAAGCTCACTCTGTTACTGACGTGATAAAACTGAAAATTTATTTCAAATGTTATATGTATTACAGTTTTAAAAAAAAGGTAAAAAACCATCTGGACAGAGAGTTACAAGACTGGAATTCCATTATTTTGCCCAATATAGCTTAAAAGATAAGGATAATACAAATTATGATTACATTACTGTGATACTGATAGATGTGTAGATATAAAGGCCTTTTAAATCCAAGGCAAAAACAATAAAAATATCAAACATTTATTAATAAAAACCAGTTGTTACCTTTTAAAACGGATTGTGGCATATCCTTTGGTATCTCTTTTATTGGCAATGGTGTCTGGGTTTGTTTGGCATCATTCAATTTTTTCATGGCTTGCTCCAGTCTTGTATTGCAATTGAAGAGGCTTCTCGCTCTCTCCAATACATCTTTGCCACTTGTCAACTTATCATCTGCTGGAGGTTGGGGTAGCGGTGAAAGACCAATATCAGGAACCTATAATATATTATTATGAATGTATTAATGTTACAGTAATACTTTACAAATTTTCCAATTGGCTATTGGGTTTTTTTACTTACAATGTGTGCCATTGTAGAAAAAAAATTGTATGACTTTAAATAAAATATTCTTGAATGTTGCTACTAAGTAATGTATTACATTAAAGATGCATCATTAGACAATAAGTAAACAATAATAATTAATATAAGTATTCAGGTCAAATTTCAAAAACAAATGTCTAAACCATTTTTCAAATATAAACACATAATTACTTTCTGTGGAGTATGCATTTTTAAAACCCACTGACCCATTTAAAGAAATAATATAAAAATACACAGAAAACAAGTTCAAGGTAAAAAAAAAAACTCAAAACTATTAACATTCTCACCTTCTCCAAGTCAAATTCCGGATGCCAACGGGTGACTTTGTCCTTAGGAATCCTAATGGGACTATCCAATGTAGCCAAAAATTCGTCATGGCAGTCCTTAACTTTATCCAATAAAATATTGAAAAATTTCCTCCTTCTCTCCAACAAAAAATTTGAGGTCATACTTTCATTATCTTTGACGTTAGGCTTGACCACTAATTCCCATTGTTCTGCCCTCATGCCGCACCCATAAATTTTCAATTTTTCTTGTGTAAAATCAAATGCCTCTGGAAAAACTGTCTTAAATTGAGCCAAATGTTTTTCGAACAGATTCCTTTTGAGCATTTCTTCAACTGCAGGCTTAAGTTTTCTAAATGTGATAGTTTCTTTGCGATTGAACATCAATTGAGAAATTGTGTCTACAGCCCTAAACATTTCAGCTAAGAATCTGTACTTGAATGGTAAAGTTAAAGCTGGTTTGGATGTTTCTGATAAAAGCTCCTTGGATATTGTTTGTTGTGGTATGGATATGGCATTTTTCGTGGGGCTTAGTAGGTTCAATAGGTTTTTACGTACACCCGATATATCTTTTTTGGGACTCAGGTAGGCTTTTTCTGGTGAAAACAATTTGCGAGGACTGAAAAGGAAAAACAATAGTATATTACAATCCGAGACGGGAAATGCTTCAGTACTGGTCGAGAGGTTTTATAAAACTGAACCTCGAGACAACAATGAAGTTTCCCGTCGAGGGTTGTATACTATTTTATTTTTAACCATAATTTCTTGAAAAAACAAAATTCTGGGCAACCAAATGAGGTCGGCAAATGAAGAGGAAAATGAGAACGGGAAATATTTCCCTGCTCCATTTTTCGTCCGTGGACGGGAAATGAGGACGGAAAAAATTTCCCGTCCTGGGACAGGTAATGGAGCAGGAAAATGAAAAGACAGAAATGTGACATTTTCAAATTTTTGAAAAGTCAGTAATGACAACATTTCATATATGGTTAAAAATAATAGTATATTACATACCGAGGTGGAAAGTGTTTCATTACTGTCGAGAGATTTAAGTTAACTGAAATCTCGAGACAGTAATGAAACTTTTCACCGAGGTATGTATACTATTTTATTTACAATCATTCGAATTTTGAAATTTTCATTTGGATTAAAACTAAAAAATACAATAATTAACAATTTCATTTACTTTCGGCCCACGGGTCGAAAGTAAACTTTCGACCCGTGGGCCGAAAGTAAAAGTCAAAAAATACAATAAATTTTAAAAATTTCATTTACTTTCGGCCCACGGGTCGAAAGTAAACTTTCGACCCGTGGGCCCAAAGTAAAAGTCAAAAAAGTGACATTTTCGAACTTTTTAAAAGTCAGTAAAGTCAACATTACATGTATGATTGTAAATAATAGTATATTACATACCGAGTAGGGAAGTGTTTCATTACTGTTGAGAGATTTATATAGTCAATCGAGACGCGAAGCGTCGAGATCGACTATTAATCTCGAGACATAAATGAAAACTTTGCAATCATATATGTAATCTTGTCATTACTGACTTTTTAAAAATTTGGAAGTGACACTTCTCCTGTGTCACTTCCCTTTTCGATTTCCCTCACCGATTTCCCTATTCGACTTCCCTCACCGATTTCCCTCACTCTAATTTATTTACCTTTGCTGGCAACAATGAGAACATGTCAGGTAACAACGTCAAAGCAGTGAATGACACATTTTGGCATGTTTGTTTTATTTTTTTAATATTAAAAAAATTGATTGACTAATCATAATTGATGGTGTGCTTGCAAATAAAATAGTATACAAACCTCGGAGGAAAGTTTTCATTACTGTCTCGAGATTTATATAGTCAATCGAGACGCGAAGCGTCGAGATTGACTATTAATCTCGAGCAACACTTCCCTACTCGGTATGTAATATACTATTTATTGTATGTAGTTAAAAATTTCGCTCAGTGTTAAAACACAATCAACTAGGATCGAGAGTAGTATCAATTTGTAAACTAGCAATTTTTATGCTAAATAAAGGATTTAATAAAAAAAAAAATGCAACATTATGTTAGTTAAATTTAGAGCTAGAGCCAATGATTGGTTTTTGGTGAAGAATACAACCTACGAGGGGTAAACCACTAGTGGAAATCATTGTACATTTTTTTGGGAATCACATACTAATCAATCAGGAATACATGGAAATCACTTGGGAGTCCCTGGGAATAACCTAGGAATCGCTAGGAATCTCCTAGGACTCCATGGGAATAACATAAGAATACATTGGCAATCGCTGAGAATCATGTTGTAATCGCTGGGAATATCATCTCATTCTAACCCAGAAATCGCATATCATACATTTTAAACGATACAGCGTACTGGTCAGTTGTGTATTTGCCTTTAAGACTAAATTTTAAGCAACAAGTGCTAGACAATTTGAAATGAATTTCATATCCCAACGTTTTCCAATAACTGAGCCAATAACTGAACCCGAGACTACGAAGAGTTTAGAACTTGAAGAAGCAGAAGAACGAGCTGATTAGGTCTGTTCTCACAGAAATAGCAAACCAGTCAGAGCGTTTTTGATTGGTGCAAATCGCCAACAACCAGTTTTATGACTATTTTGAGCCAATGAAATTCGCTTTGACTGGTTTGTGATTTCTGTGAGAACAGACCTAAAGTATGACAATGTTGAGAGCATAAAAATGAAAACATGAATCTTGAAACATCTCTCGAATCCGACTTGCCAAAAGAAGACACAGAATTCCTTCACACATCAGGGTTTATCAATGGGTTCTTTCACTAAAATTTAAATACGTAATTTAAGTTTAAAATCCCAAAGGGACTATTTTAGGCATATAAGGTATACCTGACCCAAATAAGGCCATGTACCTAATAAGGCCAGTGCCCTTTATTGCTTAATATTGAATCCCATTTCCAAAAATTACAATATTATTAGGAAAGAAATCTATAATGCAAATCAAAAATTATTGCAAGGGTTCCTAGCAACTCGTCATATGTCAAAAAATAGCCAACCACATATTTCATATGTCACGTTATAATTTTGAGGCTGGAATTCAATTAGCTTATATACGTGTTTATAAAGTGAATGCAGCGATTGTAATTTTTTAACGGTCATTCACGTATTGAGAAAGCTACAGAGTAAGTACAGAATAATATCTTTGCTAGATTTCTAGTTACAGACTTTTTTTTATCAATTTAACATGTTCTTAATAAGGCCATCATACGAAAAATGTTCAATTGGCCTCACATCACAGTGTTTTTCTAAAAAAATATGTCATATTATTACCTAGGTGATGTTTTTTGAAATGAGATGAAAGAGATGCTGCAGTTCATTTGTCATACTTGTATGTAGACCTATTTGGATCACCATCCCAGGACTTGGAATTATTGTTTTTTTAGGAATGCAGCAAACATATAAATTCTATTTTGTGTACTATTTCTCAAATAATAATATTTTTCTAAATAATTGTATTTATTTGAAACATTTTTTAATGGTGGCCTTATCAGGAGCATAGTGATCCAAATAAAGCCAATGGTAAGCGTCTTTGTTTTGCGCAAAAACCACCACTTATATGAAAAAATAAATAAATTGGGGTTAATATTCAAGTAATAGAAGTAAAACACTTCACATATAAGCTCGTGATTTTTGTTGGGTTTGCTGGATAATGTTAGGAAAAAATAAAACTTCTTAATGTGGCCTTATTTGGGACAGGTACCATATACCAAAAATAAAAATGTTCTACAAGGTTAAATAAGTTTTTTACAGGCATTTAAAACTGGCCAAATTCAAAATGATTTAAAACGCGCCGATTGATGACGTCACATAAATATTTTTCATTTGGCTCATGTTGTTGCAAGGAGCTGACCGGCTCGACTGTTTTACCCTCTGTGAAAGTAAGTAAAGATTCGAATGCGCTGTTGTCGGTTGTGACTAAATGTAGTGCAACTTAAAAGAAATAAATAAAACTAGACATAAAAAATTGTTTTAAATTGTGTTTAAGCATAATTTCAAAAAAAAAATTATAAAATCTTGAATCCATAACTAATTAATTTATAGTATATTGTGTATTTAGGTGGAAAAGTGACACATTCTCGGTGTAAGTTGACGGGCGAGGCGTAGCCGAGGCCGGCAAACACTGAAGGCCGAGAATGTGCTTTTTCACCGAAATACACATACTATTTTTTCTGCGATCGGTTGAATAGCTGTTAAAATGTTTGTCTTTTAGTTCCAATTATTCAGCAGTACGAGAATCACTTTCCCAGCCTAGGCCGGAAAAGTCTTTCCCGTATTGTTATTCATTGATTCCTTAGCAACTATTGAAACATAATTGAAATACCAGAATATTGAGTTTTGCGACCTGTCAACCGGTCAAAAATTATGACATTTCTTGTCAATTGCAGAAAATAGTATATTGTGTATTTAGGTGGAAAAGTGACACATTCTCGGCCGACGGTGTAAGTTGACGGGCGAGGCGTAGCCGAGGCCGGCAAACACCGAAGGTCGAGAATGTGGTTTTCCACCAAAATACACATACTATTTTTTCTGCGATCGGTTAAAAACCTGTTAAATGTTTGTCTTTTGGTTCCAATTATTCAGCAGTACCAGAATCACTTTCCCGGCCTAGGCCGGAAAAGTGTTTCCCGTATTGTTATCCATTGATTTCTTAGCAACTATTGAAACATAATTAAAATACCAGAAGATTGAGTTTTGCGACCTGTCAACTGGTCAAAAATGCTGACATTTCTTGTCAATCGCAGAAAAATTCTGTTTTTAGTTGCTTTATCCAATTGACCTTTTCAATTTAAAAGCCTCTCTCTCTGGCATCAAACTGTCAGATGCCAAAAGAGTATGAAAACAATGGTTGACAGCCTTTGACAGTGGTTTGTAGACAAGACTTTTGAAAAAAACTATTATTTCCTCGGTTTTTTCAAGGTTTTTTCCTAACAGTGGTGATTCTGTGTAGTGTGCCTTTTCATAAAAATACATCCTATTCACCGGCGGATGCGTCTTTCCATAAGTTTCCATCAAATTCTACATTTGTCAAAATTTGGATACACAAAATCAGAAAGGATACTCGCAAAAGAAAGGGAAATCTACGTATTATCAAGTATACAAAGTAATCCACGTTCAAGTTTAGTTTGCGGAAGCTGTTTGCTTCCAAAATAATCCATTACCGTCTTCATAGCGAAGTTCTGCGAATGAAGCAGTGACTTTTCCCACATTTTCTTCTCAATTTCAAACCCTGCGCAAATGTTACCGATAGATCCACCATTTTATGTCGGTCATTGTCATTTTCCATTCACTTAATAAAGGTAGCTAACTCATTGGTGAAGTCACCGATTCGAATAAAAACGAGGGAATTGCTAGACACCCAATACACATTGACATTGACAAGCAAGCAAATATTGGCGGGAAAACGAATGTTTTCATACTTATCGTCTATCTCTTTTAATTGAAAACGTCAATTATGCCAATTTCAAAAATTAGTGAAAGAGCCCATTGCGATTCGCTACAATTTAGAGATTATTCAGGGTTCAACTTGGTTCTTTTCAGAGAAGCAGGGATGTTTGTCGATGAAGTATTAAGAGCTATGGGAATGTCTCTGAGGAAGACACAAAAGGAAAAGTCAGGATTCCAAGGCAATAAGAACTTGAAAAGGGAAAGGGGAAAGTAGAATAAATACTAGGCAGTGTGAGAAGCAGAGACGATAGCACATCTGAATCAGAATCAGAAATAAGTTTGTCAAAGAAAACCCTAACTGAAGATGTCTCTGATTCAGATTAAAAATCCTAGTGAAATTAAAGAAATATCCATCACTTCAGATCCATATTATGAGCTCAACAACTATTTATACCTACAACAAAATTGGTGTTGGTGTGGACAACCATGAAAATAAAAGTTGCTAACTTTTGGAAGAGTTGCAAATACAAATTTTTCAGTGGAAACGAGTTTTTATAAAGAAAATACTGTTTATTTTGGTCATATCAATACGAAGCTTAACAATTAGACATCGTTTTCATAATAAAATCAGCTGGAAATCAGATGATTGTAGGAAATCATCAAGGAAATCAGGTAATCAATTGGGAATGATATATAGGAATCCCCAGAAAAAATGGAAATCACCTAGTAATCATAGAAAAATATCTGAAAATCATTGGTCGTAATTTTTGGGATGGGAATACATGAGATTCATTGATCAGGGATTGCCAAATATGGAAATAATTGTACATTTGTAAGCATAGTGGTTGACCCCTCGGATGTGACTAACCTTTCAGAATTTCATGAATTTTCTGGTATTTTAAGTACATGCTGGGGGGTTTTTAGTGAACAAAATTTTAAGTGTGATTCACCCTTGAATCTACCCCTAGACTGTGAGGGGATAAAAACTTTTTCCAAAATCAGTTAATCTTCTTCAGCATTCTGGTTGAACATGTTGCATCCTCTCTTTACTAAGTAAATTTTTAGGGATAAGGAAGAAATGATTATTATAATTGCATTGTAAAATTCTCGGTAAAATTTTATGATATCTTCGAGGATATCTTCTAATCGAAAATCATGTCAAAAATATAATCCAACTAAACAGAAATTAATTCTGTTGCTAATCAGTAAAGAAACTGACAGATTTTTTTGTAATAGAACAGCATTAACAAGCCCAATTTGAAGTTCTTGGGCAGATACTCAGGCAGTTACGAATGTATCAATCAGCTACAGTGATAAGTGATAAGCTTGAACAAAGAATCAATACGGAAGGTGAACTTGGTGACAATGACCCGGAATTCAATAATTCTGTTCTGTTGAATTATTGCTGAACCTTGACTAGTGAAAAATATTTATTTCCTTAAGGAATGTCAATACTTTTAATCTAAGAGGACAATCATTAGAAAAATTGCAGTTTGAGGTGGAGTGAGGACAGGCTACTTATATGAAGAAAAAAAAAATGATATTTAGGTACTGAAGAATTTTTTTTAAACCTATTCCAGTTCTTACTTAAATTAAGCCCATACACAAGAAGATTCTTAAAATTGTCATACATGACTGGTTCCCCCTATAAGACAGGATTTAATTAAAATTTAGTTCAAAAGACAAAATTATTTAGAGTTTGAAGAAGTTTTACCCGAGGTTTTACCTAATTAAAAAATTGAAATTTCTAAAATAGGAAATAGGTAGGCCATACATTAGAGGCAATCTTTGAGTTCCTTTCAAGTGACTGACTAGATTATTTTATGCATCAACAAGATAAGATAAGAGTGGAGACTAAAAACTAATTTACCCAGAGAATTTTACTGACCTTGTCTGCACCTCCAACTCAATGGTTTTAAATCCTTTTAATCTGGGAGACTCGGGAGTAATTTGCGATGTCTTTTTTTCGATTTCAGCCAATTTTTTTTCGCCTTCCTTAAATCGTGCCATGGAAGCTCTGAGCTCTGCCAAGCCTCTTCGCGTAGGAGGTAGAAATGGTTTCTCTCCAGGTTCAGAAGGTTTCTCAGTAGCCTGAGCTTTTTTTATTTTATTAAACAATTCTTGAATATCTTTGCTGTTGGTTTCAGGCTTTGGTTTCCTACCCCTAGCCGCTTTAAGAACTTTTTTCTGGACATTTTTCGTACCTTCACTAGCCACTCTTACCACAAAGGTTTCCTCTTTTTCTTGTAGTTTCGTAAGCTTTTCTCTAGGACACTCATCGGAACCCAAAGTTTTCTGTGGTACCTGCGTAAAAATAATCCCTTTGTCTACCTCTATGTCGCCTTTTTGTGATGCATAAGTTACAGCACCAGAATCTAATAGTAAAACTTTTCTTGCCTGAATTATTTTGGTATCTTCGAGGGCGGTACGTTTGCGGTTCTTGAAAAAACAAGCGACTGACGGTTGAGCCATTGCACAAACACGAATTGTTTAATAATTTAAAATATAAACAAATTTAAAGGGATTTAAATGCCGCCCATATGCAAGCCACGAAAACCGTTATTCCCTCCAATTTTTGACAGTTATGACAGTCGTAACAAAAGGCTTGAAGTTTAGGCATGCGCACTGCGAGGGTTTTTCTGAAAAAAAAATATGTAGCGTTTTCGAATCGTTAATGTGGACGACTTATCGATATCATAAGAATCGATACAATATTCTTTCAAAAGTTGTATTGTATTCCTTTCAAGAGTTTAAAACAGTCGAGCTACTCGCTCCGGTGTTAGTCGCCCCCCGATTTGCAAGGAACAGATGCGTGGTGCAACAAACACTTTTCGAAAGGAATAAGGCGTGAAGCCCCGGAGCTGTTCCGGAGCTCCTCCTAGGTGTGAAAGAAATACAACTAATGGCTGTTCTTTTATGAAGTAATGGCGCTTTCGACTTTTGTCTAAAAACTGCACCCGATTGATCAAAAAGCGCTCCGAAATGGATTCACATGTTTGGCTTAAAACGGAGCGTTGCTCTAAGCGAAATTCACGTGCTCGACTTGAGCAACAAGACGTTTTCAAATCTCGCATAGAGCGCTCGTTCTTGCTCCGTCAAATTCGATGGTTTGGCAGTTAGATTAAAACAAAAGAACGTTCGGCTGATTCGGCTATTGATTTTATATAGTTGTATTCCTTTGGCACCTAGGAGGAGCTCCGGAACAGCTCCGGGGCCTTAGGCGCTTATTCCTTTCGAAAAGTGTTGTTGCATCACGCATTTCTTCTTTTCAAATCGGGGTCAACTAACACCGGAGCGAGTAGCTCTAGTGTTCTAAACTCTTGTAAGGAATACAACTAAATCACTTGGACCGAAATGAAGTATCAGGTCTGTTTCTGCAGAAATCACAAACCAGTCAGAGCGAGTTTCATTGGTCGAAAACAGTCAGAAAACTAGTTTCAACCAATGAAATTCACTCTGACTGGTTTGGGATTCCTGCAGAAACAGACCTAATCGTTTCCGTTCCGGTCCATAGCGTTATGACAAATATCGGTTCTGCTTTTAAAAGAAATATTTCGATTCGATTCGGACCAATAATTTCGGTTTTAACGGTTCATACCGGTACAAGCATAAATATAACTATCTAAAGGCGGATTTAAACAACTTTTGATAAATTTAGTGCGTAATTATTCCATAATTTAAGGCGTAATTTAATACATAACTTAAAACCCTAGTTTAAACAACTTCATAATTTAATACATAATTTTTGACATGTCATTAATATTTTATCAATAAATTCTGAGATTTGACACTGAAAGAACTCAAAAGGTCTAGTTTTTTATAATTTAATGCATAAAAGTTAAAAGTTAGGAACTTTTAAGGTTATCCATTACGAATTGAGCATTAAATAGATGTATAAACGCTTCCATATAAAATAATAAATTTAACTTTAAAGCTTATGCACTAAATTATGAATAGTGAATAACGCACTAAATTAAAGTTATGAAGTTGTTTAAGTTCGCCTTAACAGAAAAAATTATGTTTCTATAATTTGTGGCTTATTTTTTATTGGTGTTAACTGACGTTAAATGCATTGCTCATCTGTCTAGATGAGGATAAGTTCAATCGCTTAAAATAGCCTTATGCCTATCTGCAACAACTTTGATAACAAGATTATTGATAATAATCATACATTTTTGTGTTTTCGATCAGTTAATTAATAAAAATCTCAATCCCCAGTCACACGAAAGTACCAGTGATGACGTAACAGCGTGTCGTTTCTCGCCTTGAGTAGCACCACAGGTTATGATCGCGCTCATATTTGATTTTAGTACATTATTTAATATTCTGAAACAGCCCTTGCTTAGATCTCGTTTGCATCTTCCACTTGCCAATTATGTTAATTAAAATTAAATAATATTTTCAACATAAATGTATATTCTTAACTACGACCGCTGGCGCAAACCGCTAACGACACCGTTGATGGCGTTGCCAACGGTGCAACCCTATATGAACTTGATTCCAAAAGTCAAAGCTGTTGAGCAATCCTGTAGTAGTCTGTAATATCCTTGGTGTAGCCTAGCCGAGTTCAGAAATACGCGCTTTCCAACGCTCTGTTTTTTAATGTCCAGCAAACAGCCTAATTTATGACATCTTTGCAACCGAAAAATACCAGTTAGAACCGATTAATTTATATCGGTTCCGGTTCTGTCTGCCTTAAGCCTAGTACTCATAGCTGCGAAATTCGCATTTTTTTGACATTGCTTCGACGATTTGACGTTTGATACACGCATAAAACGTCAAATTGTCAACGTCAAAAAATGCGAATTTCGCAGTTATGAGTACTAGGCTTTACATTTCTATGAAACATGGGTTTCGTTCCGGTTCCGGTCCGCAAAAAAAAAACCTGTTCCGTTCCGGTTTTCGGTTCCACAACGTTCCGGCCCGGGTCCCTGCAACTAATGGTGTGCCGTGCCCTCGTTTGGATTATAATCGCTCTCGGAGCAGTCCCGCAGTGGTCTATGACGTCATCGCCCAGACGGGGAGCGCTCTGGGAGCAATTTTTCCATTTTCTAATCAGCTCATGTTCAACTTACTCCTGGTTTCGAGTAGGTTTTTTAACACTGGTTTTAAGCGTTTATTCTTTTTCCTACAGCCGTGCGGAAAAATCGATTTTCCGCACTGATATACGTGCGGAAAATGAGTTTTCCCGCACGGTGCGGTAAAACTTTTACCGCACGCATATCAGTGCGGAAAAAGTTTTTCCGCACTTGTTAGGTAAATATAGTATTTTTAATACCCATTTAGAATAACCCCATCCTTATTTATCAATCACGAATCAGATGAAACAAAAAATTACCAACAAAAACGAATGTCGATTGCTAATACGTCAAATTCATGTACAAATAGCAAATTCCTAACCTAATTTCATTTGTCTGTTCAAGAAGCGACATACGTTTAGTCACTAGAATGACTGGTACTTCTAAATAGGTATTAGCTATAGCTATTCCCTACGAGCTTGCGGAAAACGCCTTTTCACGCACCAATTCGCGTGCGGAAAATACCACCTTTCCGCAAAGCGTGCGTAAAAAAAATCTTACCGCACGGCCTGCACGAAAAAAGCTTTTTACGCACTGAATTTTATTTTTTTTTTCAATTGAACAGTACAGCAAAATCAAACAAAAAAACAATGTGTCAATTTCCGCAAACTCGTACGAAAAATGTTGTACCAAACACGAGCGTAAAGTATCTTTTCCTACGAGCGTGCGGAAAAGTTACTTTTCCGCACGATTTTTCGTTTTGAAAGTTGTACTTTTCCGCACGATTTTACTTTTCCGCACGATTTTACTTTTCCGCACTATTATCTTACTTTTCCGCACGATTTTTAATTTTACTGAAAAGTGTACCCATATTAAAGTTCGGGGGCCCCCTATTTGGGGGCACAGTCCCGCGGGGGCCCCATTTTTGAGGGGCACAGTCCCGCAGTGCCCCCTTTGGGGGCGGAGCCCTGGGGGCCCTTTTTGGGGGCGGAGCCCTGGGCCACATTTGGAGGGGCGAAGCCCTTTATTAGGGGGGCGAAGCCCCGCGGGAGCCCCTCATGTGGTGGCACAGCCCCGCAGGGCCCCCTATTTTAGGTGGCATAGCCCCGCGAGGGTAGGGGATCCTAACAATTTTTTTGGCCAATTTAGATATAGGCCAAAAAAAAATCCGGTTCCATTATTTTTTTGTGTATAAAAAAATCGTGCGGAAAAGTCACTTTTCCACACTAGTGCTGAAAAGTTACTTTTCCGCACGATTTTTTTATTACTAAAAAGAAGAAGATATTTAGGATCAAATAAATGATTTGTTATATATTATTTTATATTATGTGCTCTTTTGTACCATCATTATAAAATCTTTGCGTATTGGAAACATTTTTTTTGATAAATAAGATGGACAAAAACACTCGTAGGAAAAATATTGTACCTAACTCTTGCGGAAAATGTCTTTTCCACCCTCGACGGCTTGCCCGAACTCCGCTCCGCGTCGTTCGTGCAACTGCCGTGCTCGTGCGGAAAAGTACCACTTTCCGCACTTGTTAGGTAAATAACTATTTCCGCAGTGCGGAAAAGTTTGACTTTCCGTACTTGTTAGATAAATAACTATTTTTCTACCAGCGTGCGTGAAATCCCACTTATCCGCACTAATGTAGGATGTAGGAAAGTGAAAATACCTAAAATTGGTAGGCCTACATCCAGAGCTGTTTTGTCACGTTCACTTTTTTGAAACTGGTTCAAACAGTTTTGAAATAGTAGACAATTTTTCGCGAGGATAACCAAGCGTAATCTTTTGCTGGATTATGTGATTTGTCAATTGTGTCATACTCCTCTACCTCTAACTCGCCCACCTTCAAATTCTGCGATAGGTACTCGAGGATCAAGAACACTTAATTTCTTCTGTAAGAACAGACCGAAAATCACCTTTTCTACATTTAAAATCGACGAAAAATTTAACTCCCTACCCTAGCACAGCCTGAATCGCAAGCATTCCATCGAGGTCTGCGGATGACGTCAACACTATAAGTTGCTGGTAGTGAAGTAACTCGCAGGCCTAGAATTGGATAGGGAGGGAGTCAGGGGATACAATACACAATTGATATATCACATAACCCCCAGCATGACCAGATTATGCTTGATTATCCTCGCCAAAAATTGCTTAAGTATATATTCTCGCGATGAACCCATGACGTCACACAAAATTGGTCCAAACCGTTTCGAAATACAATCCAATCCACGCTTTTAAACCATTTTCTCACGCCGAGAAGTTATGACGTCATTGAGAAACTGTTTTAAACTTTTGAAAAATATTTCAAGACTTTGAGACGCGAGGAAACACCTCAGGTACCATCGTCACCAAAAGTATCTGGGACAAAAATAATTCACATTAGGTACTTTCCTGGACTAATTCTACCATCATTCATTTCAATGCATTTTCATAGTTTGACAAATATTTGACACTAAAAATTATATAGTACAAGAGCTAATTTGATGCTGTGACGATGGTGCCTACCAATATAAGTACAAAAAGGTAGTTTTCCGCACTAGTGCG